TCAAACATGGTGCAAGACTAGGCAAAGTTTCATTCTGTTATACATGGGATCACTATGAGTTGGACACATTGATAACATTTAACAACAACAACAAATGGTTTGGGCCATTTTGACCTAGTATGCATAGTGGCTAAGACACTTGCCTGCTAACCAGACGGCTGGCGGTTCAAACCCACCAGACACTCCTCGGAAGGAAGGTTGGGCAATCCTACTTCCGTGTGATACTGCCTCGAAAACCCAAGGAGGGGTCGCTTTGAGTCTGGTCTGACTCGACAGCACATAACAACAACAACAACATGCCAGGAATGACAAATTGAAGAGGAATGTCATGGCATTCATCTTCCCAAAAAATGTTTCAGGATCCATTCTGAAGTACAATGCTGTCAGTGATAGGATAACAGCCATATACTTACAAGCAAGACCAGTTAACACTACTATTATTCAAATTTACACACTAACCACTAAAGCCAAAGATGAGGAAATTGAAGATTTTATCCAACTTCTGCAGTCTGAAATTGACCAACCATGCAATCGAGATGTATTGATGATTACTGGTGATTGGGACGTGAAAATTTGAAACAAAGAAGAATGATGGATAGTTGGAAAATATGGCCTTGCTGATAGAAATGACACCGGAGATTGCAGGATAGAATTTTGCAAGATCAACAACTTATTCATCACATATATCTTATTTCAACAACATAAACAGCAACTAGACACATGGACCTCAGCAGATGGATTACACAGGATCCGATTGACTACATTTATGGAAAGAGGCAATTGAGAAGCTCAATATCATGAGTCAGAACAAGGCCAGCAGCTGACTGTGGAACAGACCATCAGTTGCTCATATGCAAGTTCAAGTTGAATGTGAAGAAAATTAAAACAAGTCCACAAGAGTCAAAACATGACTTTTATTATATCCCACCTGAATTTAAAGACCATCCAAAGAATAGATTTGACACATTGGACAATAATGACCAAAAACCAGATGAGTTGTGAGATGACATCAAAAATATTATACATGAAGAAAGCAAAGGGTCATTAAAAAAGAAAGAAAAGACCAAATTAGATGTCAGAAGAGACTCTGAAACTTGCTCTTGAATGGAGAGTAGTTAAAGCAAATGGAAGAAATGATAAGATAAAAGAGCTGAGCGGAAAATTTCAAAGAGCAGTATTAGAACACAAGATAAATTATTATAATGAAATGTGCAAGGACTTGGAGCTAGAAAACTAAACAGGAAGAACATACTCAGCATTTCTTAAGCTGAACGAACTGAAGAAAAAAAAAAAGCCTCGAGTTGCAATACTGAAGGCTTCTGTGGGCAAAATATTGACTGATGCAGGAAGCATCAAAAGAAGATGGAAGGAATATACAGAGTTAGTGCACAAGAAAAGAATTGGTTGATGTTCAACTATTTCAGGAGGTGGCATATGATCAAAAACAACTGATAATGAAAGAAGAAGTTGGAGCTGCACTGAAGGAACTGGTTAAAAACAAAACAAAAAGGCTCCAGGAATTGATGGAATACCCATTGAGATGTTTCAACAAATGGATGCCCCACTGGAGGCACTCACTAGGCTATGCCAAGAAATTTGGAAGACAGCTACCTAGCCAACTGAATGGAAAAGATCCATATTTGTGCCCATTCCAAAGAAAGGGGATCCCGTAGAACGTGGAAATTATCAAGCAATATCATTAATATCACACACAAGTAAAATTTTGCTGAAGATAACTCAAAAACATTTTCAGCAGTATATTGACAGAGAAATTCCAGAAATGCAAGCTGAATTCAGAAGAGGATGTGGAATGAGGAAAGTTATTGTTAATGTCAGGGGGATCATGGCTGAAAGTAAAGAATACCAGAAAGATGTTTACTTGTGTTTTATTAACTATGCAAAATAATTTGACTGTGTGAATCATAACAAATTATGGAAAACATTGAGAAGAATGGGAATTCCAGAACACTTAATTATGCTCATGAGGAACCTACATAGACCAAGAGGTTGTCCTTCAAACAGAATAAGGGGATACTGCTTGGTTTAAAATCAGGAAGGGAATGCATCAGGGTTGCATCCTTTCACCATACTCATTCAATCTCTATGTTAAGCAAATAATCCAAGAAGCTGGACTATATGAAGAAGAATGTGGCATCAGGATTAGAGGAAGACTCCTTAACAACCTGTGACACGCAGATGACACAACCTTGCTTGCTGAAAGTGAAGATGTCTTGAAGCACTGACTGATGAAGATTAAAGACTAAGGCTGTCATATAGGTTCCTTGGCTTTCACGCTTAATGTAGATTCGTGATTCATGGGAAGTTTTATCTTTCTAGAAAGATGTTTCTTGTGGGCTGAGTGCAGTCTTGCAGGGAAGAGTATAGCTGTGAGGTGTTAGCAGTTTTCATTCAGAGCAGTTGGAGTCCAGGTGTGGTTTTGGTGAATTGATGTAGGCAGCAGGAGCTTTTCCTAAAGAAATAAATATACACATGAATTTCTGAGTGGTTTTCCTGCGTGGTGAAACCCAGAGAGACATGGGATGGTGATGGTTACAGAAGACAATGTATGGAACAAATTCTTCATGTCATGTTTTGATAAATGAGTTCTCAAAATGACGAGGTGTTAACTTTTATTATTTATTTTAATCTGGTCAAAGAATTACATAAGTTTTAAATATTGTTTTATTATGAATGTTTGAAATACTGCATAGCAGAATTTTGAGGCTGGTTCATAAAGTTGACATGGTACTAGGTTGTTTTCCATTATTGAATGAATAATTGCATCAGAGGGTTAAAGCCTGTGGGATCATAGTGTCATAGTGAGACATGCCACTGACATTCTGCTAGAAATCCAAAGAATTTACTGAAGGATAAAATGTTTCGCAAAATGGGGAGACACCAGCCCTCAGGCAAGATGCTTTTGTGTGTCTCAAATTTCAAGGACAGAAAGATTTCTATCAGGTGAAAGGACCAAGGACTTCTCTCACCGACATAGGTGATGTTGCAGAGGGCCAAGGGGTTGCTCACACTCCAAGCTTTCTTAACGTTAATCTCTAACCTCCTGGAGCACGTTTCACCAAGACATCCTTCTTAACCTTGGTAAGTCTGTTTGTTATGTCAAGAGATTGTTTAACAAAGAATTCTGTCAGGAGGATTTGAGACAGTTTCCCTTCACAGCTGCATGCCTGTCTCTCCCTTTTCTTAATGAAACAGGCTTGGGTCTTCCCATTAGTGACAGGTCTACAAAGAGTCGGCAGATACAGTGGAAGATCTCAGTGAGAGAAAATGAAGTCGGATTAAAACTTGATTAATTGACATTTACCTCATCTCGGTCACAGAGTTATGAGGCAGTGACAGGCTGACCCCTGACTTAACATCATCGATCCTAATTCTGTTTTCTAACCTCCAGGGACATGCTTGTGCATTCTTGTCAGATCAGGCTGCGTCAATGTTCTGGACAGACACCCTCAACAAACGACTTCTTATCCAAGTCACCCTCCTGACTTGACTCATGCTTTTGTTGTGTAATAAACAATCTTTGACAAGATTTCAGTTTAATTCAAATGGGATTTTAATTGAGGCTGGAAGTCACCTTTTTCAG